AAGATATTTTTGTTATCCGGCGACTTTAGGCAAGTTACTCCAGTTAAAAGATACGCGACAAAAACTGATTTAATAAACTTGTCGTTAAAAATAGCTACCTATTTAAAGAATTAAAAATCCTAACGCTTAAGAAGAACATGAGAACGTTGCCGGAAGAAAAAAGTTTCGCCAAATTCTTGTTGAAAGTGGGAAACGGCGATTTGCAGAATGAGGAAGAAGCATACATCAAAGTGCCGCGGGACGTATTTTCACAAAATAATTTGATTAACGATGTCCTTGGCGACTGTATTCGAGACAAAAACTTTGCAGAGTTAGCAAACCGCGCCATTTTGTGCACAACCAACGAAGCTTGTAGGGCAATTAATGACACTGTTCTGGAGCTAATCGATGGTGAGACGGTGGTTTATTACAGCAGAGATAAGATAGACGGTGGCGGACCGGCATCTGCGATCCATTATCCTGACGAATTTATGCACGGGCTCGAGGCCTCGGGCTTACCACCTCATGAACTTAAAGTCAAATACAACGTTCCACTCATGCTTTTGCGAAACTTGAATGTCAGTCAGGGATTGACCAATGGTACACGACTATTGCTAAAAGTGGCAAAACCGTCGGTGCTCATTTGCGAGATTATTACCGGCTCAAAAGCCGGCGAGATTGCTTTTATCCCACGCGTCAAGTGCATTAATAACGACGGCACGTTCCCTTTTACTCTCAGTAGAGAGCAATTTCCAGTACGGTTAAGTTATTCTTTGACCGTGAATAAATCGCAAGGAAGTACTTTTAACAAAATCGGACTAAATTTCGAAAAGGAGCCCTTCTCGCACGGCCAAACATATACAGCAATGAGCAGGGTTCGTTCCTGGGATGGTCTCAGAATACAAGTGACGCAACAAGCACGCCTATACTCGGTAAAAAGTATAGTATGGAGAGACGCTCTTTTAAATTCGGTCAATATGAGAGTACTAATAGGTCAGGGGTGCGTCCCTGGCGACACTAATATAGAACAGTCTGATGCCGACAGCGCCGATGATGATACGCCGCTAGATGCCCGCAGTCAAAATGATCCGTCGCTTTCAAGCGAAAGATTTAGAGATTAAGATTTTTTCAGGTGGAACGGCACGTTCAAATGAGTCAAATTGCAGGCGGTATGGCAAAGAGTGTAAGTCCATAATCAGCGGGTCGCTCGATGAAGTAATCTGAGGGCGACAAAAAAATCCCGCTTTTCTATAAAATGGGATGTTGTTGTTAGAAAACCTCTTAATTTTTACGTCGGTGTGCCCGGAAAAATTAAGCTCAATGCGCTTGCAGTCAGAGAACGAAAACTTCTACGTGGTTTCATGTTGCCCACTTTAGAGATTCAAAGAAAGCAGCGACGGACAAATGACCAACATGACTTTCGAACACCAATTTCAAGTGCGTTTGTCATCGAATTTCACATCGACGCAGGCCAGCAAAACAAGCAGTAGCCGCCGCCGCATCCGATGCACGGACTAAGGAATCAAGTTGCGCGGCACAAGAGAGCGATTTGATGCGCCGGAAATCGCGCGCCGATTAATTACGCAGCGGAAGCGGTGGACCAGAGACAGCGGCGCGGCGGACGTGTCGCCGAGAGTGACCGACGGAAAGCGACGCCGCTGACACACAGATTAATGATCAGCGCGGCATAGCGGAGTGGGTTGATGTGCGTCGGAAGTGACGCGCCGATCAATTGCGCTGAGGGCAGCAGAATCGATTGGCCATGGACAACGCCGCGGCGCGACGCGAGGGCGACCGACGGAGTGCGCCGCCGCTGACACGCGTCTTAGAAGACTCATTGCGCGACATAGCGCAGTGGGCTAATGCGTCGGAAAACGCGCGCTTATGCTTATGCGGCAGCGGCGCTGCGCGACGCACTTGTTGGCGAGGGCGTCCGACGGAGTGCGCCGCCGTGGACGCCCGTATTAGAAGTCTCATTGCGCGACATAGCGCAGTGGGCTAATGCGTCGGAAACCGCGCGCTGATGAATTACGCAGAGAGAAGAGGGATTGATTGAGCCACAACCAGCGGCGCGGCACGCCGCATTTGTTTGCGAGGGCGTCCGACGGAGTGCGCCGCCGCGGATACGCGTATTAGAAGTCTCATTGCGCTGTGGGCTAATGCGTCGGAAACCGCACGCTGATGAATTACGCAGAGAGAAGCGGCATCGATTGAGCCGGAACAGAAGCGCGGCGCGACGAACGTGTTGGCGAAAGCGAGCGACGGAGAGCACCGACCGCACACGGAATAAGTGTCATATTGCGCGGCATAATGGAGCGGCTAATGCGTTCGAAGTCGCGCGGCCTTCTGCTACGCAGTGAGTAGCGTTATCGGCTGATCCGGGACAGCTGTGCGGCGCGACGGAAGTATTCGCGGGAGCGGCCGATGGAAAAAAAGCCAAAATAAATTTATGACGTTGGGCTTTGGTAAGTTTGCGAAACCAAACAAAAGTGAAAAGCCGACCGACCGGATGTGAGAAACTTTTGATGCACAAAAAATAATAAATAGAAAACGTGTCGGAGATTGCCACAGGCCCGGAGCTAACTATGTGCGCATAATAATGATCTAAAAAGTAGTGATTGGAAGTAGGATTTTGCTAATAAACATTTCGAGTAGGAGCTGCCAAAAAACATCTCAATTTCACGGTTTCTCTTTAGAAAGCAAAATGAACGTATCTCATCAAAAATATTTTATTTTCGGTCGTTGTGCGTCTTGAAAAGAAAGCGGACATCAGTCGTCAAAGGCGACCTCGTCTTAGAGGATGTTTACAGCAATTTCTAAGCACAAAGGAGGCTTTTGCGCAGATAAGCATTACTGGTCGCGTTCCTGATAAAGTATTCTTTTGATGCCTGAGCGGGAAATTTGCGATCAAAGACGCTATCAAATATCAATCATGTTAGCAAGGAAACAAAAACCTTGGCGTGAACGTGCGCGCCCATTGATGGCAGCTTGCATCGGCGGCATCATTAAAGCAGCATACTGGTCCAAACTGCGCCAACAAAGAGATTGTTCTAACAAAATACTAGCGCAAGAGGAAAGATCTGAGGACTGATAGATTTTGTTTACGTGACGGGGACATGTTGGGGCGAACTAATGAGTATAAAAAGCACAGGACTGGGTCAGTTAAGCATCAGCTTTCGGGTCCTCAAGACCGAACCTCTCGCCAGCGACTTACCAGGTCATCTTTGCGACTATCAGCGATATCTGCGTGATGCCGAAGAATCCCGAAAGCAGCAAGAAGCGCGCCAGCGACGCCATCGACCATCCTGCCAGTCCGCCGCCTAAAAAGGTATTGCTTGTGGGATGGTTTACAAAGTTTGCTGCATTTTCAGACTGAAAAGCCATTCGCCATGACCAAGCACGGCGACATCATCCTCGGAAGCGAGCGAATGTAGGGTTTTTTTCTGGATAGCTAAGGGTATTTAAGCGACATTTTTAGCAAAGTCAGCGGCACGCTTGTCTCCACGATGGAGCCACGCGGCAAGCCTCACTGTGCATCAACATCCTGCAGGTGGACGGCGGCCTGGTCAAGGTCGTCAGCTTCTACGAGAATGCAAAGCGCCTCTACACTATTCTGCAGGAAGCCGTGGTAAGCGTTTGTAACTATTAAAATTTGATGCTTTTATACTGACCAAAACTAATTGTACGCCTAGGGTCGCCACGTCACCTTCCGGATGATGACTGCAAAAATGGAGCCTGAGCAGTATGCCGATCCGAAGTACGGTCAGCTCGTCCAGCTTTCCTTCGTCAAGGCCTCGGAAGTGCAACTCGTCGATGACGGCTACAAAGCCGACATCGAAGATGAGCACCACGAGGAGCCGAAAGCAGCCCGCGATCCGTCCAAAGTGCTGATGCTCCAGGAAATCCTCAACGGCTATACTGAAGGTAATTTTTAAAAATTCAAAAATTTTCAAGGATAGCACGTAAATCACCCAATGATTTCAGGAGTGCCCCACCTGCAGCTCATCGCCAAGACGGTATACCTCCCGGCACAGGGAAGGGACGGTGCCGACAAGGGACCCCGCTTCGGCAGTGCTGTGACCGATGGGGTGCATATGGCCGAATCTACTTCAAGTACGGCGAGGCGAAGTACTACGTACCTCCGATGGAGTTCGACGTTCTCGACTTCGACGTCGACATTGTTGGTAAGACCTGAAAATGGTGATAAGCTTCCATGAACCAAAAGTTTAGACACTTGCCTGAAGATCACCATCGCATCCAAGAAGGACATCGGCGTCACTCGGGCGACCATCAATAGCGTCGCAGACGAAGACGACCTGGAGTTCCCGTCGATGAACGACGACCAGGCTTCCGACAACGCCGACTGAGCGCTGCAGCGAACGCATTCTACGCACATACTCTCATTTAACCCTGTTTTCTAAGCACTACATGCTAAGTAATTTCCTTCATTTTATCCTCTTGTAAGCACTATGTGCTAAGTAATATTCTCATCTAATACGCGTTAAATGATTTCCACATGCATTTGGTACTTTTATGAACTTACGTTTCCTCAATAAAATTTGCTTTACGTTCACTGTTCCAACTATAAGCACTTTTAAGAGTTTCCGAAAATTTACTTAGGATACCTTCCTTTTTGACACTAGCAGCCAACAGAACTTACTCGTAAACGCAAAATTGAGCGTTCATCTCCAAAATTATGTCATTTTTGTCAGACGACGTTTCTTACGTAGCTTCGAACACTTGCAAAAACCTGCGAAATAACGGCATGCAAGATAAACTAAAAAAGGCCACGAATAAGTGAGACCGAATAAGCTTAGGCGCTAACGCAAAGAAATTTAAAAGCTCAAATGATAAAATGGAATTGAGAAAAACTTTTATCGACGCTTACTGCACAAACACGTGCATGCTAAATAAACATTGTTATTCTTGCTACCGCGGAATTATTACACGCGCAAGCGCTAGAAGAAAAAGGAAATGTCCGCTCTACTAACATTTTTGCGAGTACGGGTCGCGAGTCAGAGGCCATCGAGCAGGAATTGAACCTACGACCTTTTCCCGTAAAGGAAACGCTCTGCCGCTGAGCTATCGATGCATATCCTCTTGACTCAACGAAGCGTACTCAAAAAACTAAAAATTCATACGAAAAATGTTTGGTCATTTATGCAAGAAATATTTGTCTTGCGTGCGCGTAGCATATTTAAATTTGGGAACAAAATCATCAGGTGGTCGTCTGCATTCCCAAAGACAATCATAAGTTGTCGGCAAATCCGCAAACTGGGGAGACGTTAGCGCACAAAGAGCATAGGCTCGCGACAATAGGTGCTGTGGGGACTCGCCACGCAGTGCACTGCAATTAATGCTAGAAAGACGGCAGAAGGTAAGGCGCACGCAGCATCAGGCACAATGAAAACAAAACTAAGAGCCGCTACTGTGCAAGCGAGCTATGGACGCTAAAGAAACGGCACACACGATGCAATCAATGGCCTTATTATCAGTGACCCACTGCCGCGCTCTGTCTCTCCGGTTTCTTCACAAGAAGTTTCTCTCGCACATAAGACCTGGTTTGGGCGCGCGCGTTCACAGATATCGTGGCCACCGAACGCGCTGACCATTCAACGGGCGCGTGCGCCACTCGCCAAATGACCACTGCCCTGCGACCTCGAAAAGGCTTGCAGTTTGTGGGCGTCTGTTATCGGCCGGCGCAACGCTGCACGTGAACCCCACTCCACTCTTGAGACTATTCACCATGAGGAGAGACAGAAGGAGCATCTACAAAAAAGAGGCCAATGCGTTTTGCAGAGGTTATTGTCTAAGACGCGCGACGTTGTTTCGGCCCGGAAAACGCGCTGCCACTGAGCCATCAGGGCACATTTTGACGCTAAACCTATGCCATTGGTCGTGAAAAACTTGCACGTAAAGAGAAGGCTGCGATTAAACAAAAAAATTAGGATCGCAGTCATGCGCGCGTGAAACGTGCGCATTTTCATCCAGAAAAAGTATAAGTTACATTGCACAGGCACGTTGACGCAAGTTCAAACAAAGGTGACCTGTAGGGGACAGCGGGGCTTCAAAGTTGCGAGCACTAGATCAACTTCGAACAATACTAAACGCGTTTGGCACAAATTTCAAGCTCAGTCAAGATTTTCAAAACATTCTTTCTAAAGAGCTTTAATTTTTTGTTTCTTCCGTCCGGTCCGTTTCAAAAATACTTTAAATAAGGGCAGGCGGATCGCAAGTAATACACACCAACAACTGATGCGCGTACAGTACGAAGCCACTGCACAGGACAAAAGCAAGCATAGAACGCGACCAAGGCACGTCAAAAATAAAACCGCCAGTAAGGTCTCAGAGTAGCGCAGCGTTTGATCACAGAACCACAGCCGCACATGGTGTGATCGTTGGCCTTATCAGTGACCGATGACCCTCTCTCTGTCTCGTCTATTTCTCCGCAATGATGTCTCGCTCGAATGACCCAGCACCGACACACCTTCCGCTCTCTGGCGGCTCCTTCTCACGCTTTCCAATACGTCTTGCTTTTGAGCACGCTACAAATCTTGTGCCACCAACGCGCAGATCTCAACAGCATCCCGCGCAAAATTAGCGTATACATAAGGTTCCTGGTGGTGCCAATTGACAACACGCTGGCACAGTACAGAGCGCTAATTTGTGCACGACAGTGTGCGAGAGAATAACGCTACGTCCGTACCGTCATTCTGTAGGCGAACCGGGTCCTTAAAACTTGGGGCAGTACTGCCTGCAGACGTTTGGACTAGAATCCACGAAATCCGCAAATTAAAGTCTTCTGCCGGTTTGTAACACTTTTACAAATCGAAAAATACTGGTTTTTCGCGATTGTTGAGCTAGCCTCTGTCAGGTCGATTACAAATTACCTTAAAAATGCACAAAACCTCTCACAAGGGTCGAAGAACACGTAATCCAAGCATACTTTACGGGCATAATTGAGCTTACAGCGCCGCTGCTCAAAGCGGAAACAAGCAGATTTGCCTTGTACAGAACGCGCAAAATCCAAAAATTTGGGGGATCGGCGGCGGGGGGGGGTATCATCCGCCGCTGGCTATCCCGCGTTGAACGACGCGCACGCTACAAAGTGGTGATCGGCGGTCCGCCCGTCGGTACTTTGGCCGACGACTGCCTCCGTCGAAAAGCACACGCCGCTCGGAGAGCCATCTTTGAGGGACGCGTGGGGGCCGCCGTAAACTGATTAACGCACTCTTACCACGCACCATTCGCACGCGTCCACACTCCGGGAAGGACGTCCTTCAGACGTCGGTCACTTGGCCGCCGCCGGATGTTAGCCCAGGAGCTGACCTGGGGAGGCCTTGCTGGGTCGGAAGGTCGCGGCTCGGAAGCAATCGGCCAGCGTGCGTGATAAGGATGAAACCCAACCGATTGGAGCGTGGAGGAATGGGTTTCGTTTCGCATGCGTAACGCCCTTTAATAATCCGCTTATGCCGAGAGACGCTTTTACTTGCGCGCTGCTGAGTGATGATACGGGAGGGATGGAATACGCCCAAATTTCATGCTCTTAGCTTTCGAAATTGTAAGATTGAGACTCTACGAAGGCAGAGCTGTACGCAACATGTTACAAGGAAGAATAATCTGAAACAAAGCGTGCTTTTGCGGACGCTGCGGGAGAACCCTACGATGTGATCAACGGTCCGGGGGGAGTATGTTTCAGCCAGCTCAAATGGCTAAAATTCGAATCTACCGGTCTACATACATTCCGACTAGAGCTCCAAACGGTGCGCCCAAAAATATTTCGGTTGGTTTACGACATAGCGTAGCGGTCCACGGGCGGCCAAAAGGCTTGGCAAGCAAACGCGTAGGGGACGCTGTGATCATTCCGCCGACGACTTGACCCTCCGTGTAAGGTCAGTAAAATTTTAGCTTACAAAATCGCCACTCAAAAGGGGACCGCAAAGCCTTGTCCTTTTAAGCAATGATGTCAGAAGTTAATACGGTTGTTTGCGACAATGTTTACTAGCGGCGTCGGCCGCGCGCAGCGCGGCCCAGCCGCTAGTGCAGCGTATTTAGCACAACTTATAACACTTAATATTAGTGTCTTTGTTATTTGGTGCTTTAACGTTTCATTTTGCCTGCGAAAAGGCAGAAAATTTCAAATTTTTTATTACCGTATTACGTCGCCGTACTCCGTACCGTACCGTACTGCGCCGTACTGGTACGGTACGGAGTACGGTACGGGGGGGGG